GGGATCATGACCTGAGCCGAAGGCAGACGCTTAACCAACTGAGCCACCCAGGCGCCCCAGTTTTTTAACTTTTTAAAGTGTGGTCTGTTTCCTTTAAAATACACAGATGAAGGTTACATCAACATCCTGCCTGATCGCTGGCCCCGCCCCAACCCCTGCCCCTCGGCAGCTTCACCCATCTGCACACCTGCTCCAAGGGTGGGCTCCTTTTGTAGGTACTCTAGGCCAGGAGCCCTGGAGGCGAGGACCTGGGACCCTATGCTGGGGTCTCACTGCTTCTGGAAAAGAAACCTACTGTAGGAGAATCCGGGGTCCAGTTTGCTGGGCAGACTTCTCCATGGGTTTCCACGAACTGGAACGCCTTCACCAAGCGGAGGGTCTCTTCCACACTTCGGCCCACAGGGAGATCGTTGACACTCAAATGCTTGATGACTCCATTGGGGTCAATGATGAAGAGACCTCTGCATCAGGATTTAGCCCCATTAGTACCTCAGGCGTACCACAACGACAAAGTCTAACTTCTACCCGCTTCTGTCTTTAATTCTCAATAAAGCATTAACTCCCCCATATGCTTAAATGTGGGGCTTTCACTGTTACACACAAAGCTGATCCTTTCTCACTGATGATGTGCCACACACAGGTGTGACCGGACCAGGCCGATGTGGAAAACAGGCAGTATTTCCCACAGAGAAAAGTTATAGAGTCTAAAAGTCAGAGAGCAGACTTCTTTAACTTATTAGTGATTTAGGTGTTCTCTGGGCGGCTGTATCAAATCCTGGCAAGAAACCAGAGGCAAATGAGAGGAGACAAAGATGTATCTTATCTATATTCAGTAAATACTGATGAAATGAGTGAATTCTTGGGTAAATGGGGGCGGGGAGAAATCCCCTGGGGAAATCTTTGCAGAAAGAATTCACTGGCCTCAAGTCTAGGCTGAGCAGAAATCTAAAGGAAAAACCAAGACTGTTACTCTTTATCACTTGGCAGCAGCAAAATGAAATGACCTGCCCTGTGGTCTGTGTTCATCTTCTGTGCAAGTGTTGGGGTTACCATGACATATGCAGATATGGGTCAACCACAGGTTTTAACAGTCTGTCTTAAAAGGGTGTGGCGTTCCAAGTGTTAATCATGCAGGGAAAAAACAAGTAAAAGAAAAAGGCAAGGTGAAAAGGTGCTTCTTCCTTCCTGGGCCTGGCTCTTGGGGGTCCTGCTGTAAGCTCCTTGACCAAGAGCGAAGCCAAGCTGGAGTCCATGGTGCAGATGCAGATGCAGGGCCCCCAGACTCCGGAAAGCAAGCCTTATCTTCCAAACCAGACTCAAAGGAATAAAGATCTAGCCACTGAATGAATGAGGACAGAAATGACATTCTGGGACAGGAGTCATGACGCTACCAGAACCTGTGCTAAAAACTTCAGCTGCCTCGCCTTATTTAGTCCCCACAACCAACCTGGGAGGTCCATTCTCATTTTAGGTATGGGAAACCTGGGACTCAAAGAGGTTCAATAACTTGCCCAAAGTCATACAACTGTTAAATAAATACGTGAGTTTAAAAAAAAAAAAAATCAAACTCTGGTCTGATTCCAGGGCTTGGACAAGATCTCACCCATCCCAGCTCACTGACTCCTACAGTCTGCTAGTCTCCCCTTCTCCAGACATGTCAGGAGTGTGCCTCCCACGAGAGCAGCTCCCAGGTGGTGAGGGCGAATGCAGCAGGGTGACCATCAAGACACACTAGTCCTCAGAAGGAGACACAGGGTGCTGCAGGGGGCAGACACGTCTCAGCCATCCCGAGATGGCCAACACTCGCGGAACGCACTCATCAGTGCTCACGCAAGGCTAAAGTGAATGGAAGCTTTTTGGTTTTCAAAATGCTTTACTGAGGGCTCCATGATGCTAAACATGAAAAACAAGTTTAAGTTCGTAAGAAACATGATCTTACCTTAGAGCAACACCGGGGCCTTCCAACAGCACGCCATAGTCTCGGGAAATCTGTTTAGTCAAATCTGACAGGAGTGCGATGTTCATGTGGCCCAAGCCGCCATTCTAACAAAAATGAGGACATGACTGGCTGTTACACCGTGTGCCCTCCCCATTGTCAGCCACGTAAACTGATGTCTGAGGCTAACAAGAATGGCGACGGGTGGCAGCAACTGAGAACTGACAGCGGGCCGAGCACTGCTCTTAGCTCTTCCTGTTAACTCACTTCCTCCCAGTACTATCCTGGAGCAGATACTATCATTGTCTTTTTACACATGAGGAAACTGAGGCACACAAAAGTTACTTGTTCCAGGTCATGGCTAGAAAGGGACAGAGGCAGGATTTAAACGCAGCTAAGGGGCGCCTGGGTGGCTCGGTCGTTGGGCGTCTGCCTTCGGCTCAGGTCATGATCCCGGAGTCCTGGGATCGAGCCCTGCACCACGCTCCCCGCACTGCGGGAAGCCTGCTTCTCCCTCTCCTGCTCCCCCTGCTTGTGTTCCCTCTCTGACTGTCTCTCTGTCAAATAAATAAAAATAGAATCTCTTTAAATAAATAAATAAATAAACCCAGCTAATACTGGAGACCTTTCTTTTTCTAATTCTCCATGTATTCCTTTACTTCAAGATTAATTTCTGTAGCATAAAAATGGAAGCGTAATAAAGACTGAATAATTTGGTTTTGATAATCCAGCAACATGGCTAGAAATTTTGATTCTCCCAATCGTTTTTCAGCAGGAATAGTGATCATGCTGAAGAGTGAAATCAGAGAACTTAACCACCGTCCCACAAGCCATGAAGGGTATGTGGGATCTACAAAGTACCCACGAGAGAGGAGGCATCGAACCCCAACTGTCCCTGCCCCCGCCCTGCTGGGCCTGTTCTCCGTTACTGTTTGTACCTTGGAAAACACACGTGTAATGGGCAGTAAATCCAGGCAATGTCAAAGGAGATAAGGACAGAGTTTAACAGAATTTGCCAGGAGCTTAGGACCTAGAAATAGCCCATTTCAGACTAGTCATGCTTTTACTATTTCTAGGTTAGTCTTTTTTTTTTTTTTTTAATATTTTATTTATTTATTTGACAGAGAGAGACCTAGCGAGAGCAGGAACCAGCAGGGGGAGTGGGAGAGGGAGAAGCAGGCCTCCCGCCAAGCAGGGAGCCCGATGCGGGCCTCGATCCCAGGACCCTGGGATCATGACCTGAGCCAAAGGCAGATGCCCAACGACCGAGCCACCCAGGCGCCCCTCTAGGTCAGTCTTTTATGGGGTCTTTTCAGTTTTTAGGCTCCTAAGTGCAAAGGCAGGGCCACTGAGGTTTATACCTTCCTTGGTGTGTTGATCCAGGCGAGATGGGTGAACTGAGAATCCACTGAAACAGCAACAACTTCACAGTTCACGTCGTGAAATTCATTGGCTTTGTCGCTAAAAGCAATAATTTCTGTAGGACACACAAAGGTGCTAGAAAAAAAGGGCAGAAATTCCCAACAGAGAATTTAAAAACAAGGATTTAAAATTTAAACAGGTAGCCTAAAAACTAGTTCAGCTGCTTAAAGGTGAAGAAGGAAAAAACAGTTAACCATCCTCACCAGACTCACCTCTTTATTTAAGAATCATACCAAAAAATGGGGGTGGGCAGGGGAAAAGAAGCATATTCTAAGACTAAAGAAACAATTAAATAAAGTAGCTTTATGAGAAAAGTCATTTTATTATCTTTACTTTTCTTGTTTTCCTCCAGGCCAGTGACAACTTCCTTACAGACTGGCTTATGGAAACCACAGCTCTGGAGCACATAAAACGGAGCCATGTTAAAACCCTACCCCACTAAAAAGAATGCCATCTCCTTCTCTAAATTTATCAGATTAGCTGCAGATGCAAGCTGTCCTCAGCAAGGCCACCAGTGATAAAAGGATCCGAAAGAACCCTCCCTTGACCAGAAGAGCAACCAGAGATAGGAAATGTCAGGGTGGAAGCAAGGACCTTAAACAACATTAAAGCATCACAGAAATTACACTTACAAGTCCAAAGGATAGAAGAAAAGCACCAAATATCTCCCCTTAAAGTCATCAAGGCTTAGGTCTTTGAACTCTCCGTTGACAACGGCGGTGCCCTTAAAATAGGGCGCGTGCTGGGTGACGGCAGGAGCGTGGTATGAGGAACCTGAAGGAAGCCCACACGCACATGTAGTTCACCTGCTAAATCACCCACCTATCTGACTTCATTCAAATCTCTCATAGTAATTAATTAGTACTATAAATTAAAAGGTTCAGTTCAACCCTATGTCTAGGTAATACCCCCCTTCCGTAGTTCTAGATGGTACCCAAATTCAATTCAAAGTACTATGGGGACTGAAAAGACTAAAAAGATGATGCCAGAAGATGGTAGGGACGAAATTAAGATAGAATTGAGGAGGAAAGGAGCCTAGGCATGGATTCTAAATACGGCTCAGATTTTGCCATGTCCAGGCAGGACAGGGAAGAGGGAACAGGGCAGGTGTGGGGAACAGCTGGTGGCAGTTTGAATACAACAGAGAGGTGTGTGTGGAAGGAAGCATTAAGAGACAAAGCAGGAACAGCTGAAGGCCACGCTCTGGGGGCCCTTAAATATCAGGCTAGAAGCTGTTTTTTTTTTTTTTTTAAGATTTTATTTATTTGAGAGAGACAGAACATGAGTGGGGGGAGGGGCAGAGGAAGAGGTAGAAGCAGACTCCCTAAGCAGGAGCCAGACACGGGGCAGGGGGGGAAGTTTGGGGCTGGATCCTAGGACTCTGGGATCATGACCTGAGCGGAAGGCAGACGCTTAACCGACTGGGCCACCCAGGCGCCCCCATAGAATCTGTTCTTAAAAGAAGGGATAGTGGGCGCCTGGGTGGCTCGGTTGGGCGACTGCCTTCGGCTCAGGTCGTGGTCCTGGAGTCCCGGGATCGAGTCCCGCATCGGGCTCCCTGCTCGGCGGGGGGTCTGCTTCTCTCTCTGACCCTCCTCTCTCTCGTGCTCGCTCTCTGTCTCTCTCAATAAAATGAAAGGAAAGAAAAAAAGGAAAAAAAAAAAAAGGGATAGAGTGATCACTGGAGATTTTCAAGCAGGAGATGGAAGATGTGCTGGTGTTGGTGACCAACAAGGAAATGTGACACAAGGGCAGTCTGCCTCAGTAATTTTCAGTCCTGACTGGACATTAGAATCATTTGGTGAGCTTTTAAAATACACTGATAAGGGGATTAAAAGGTACGAACTTCCAGTTACAAACATGGGAGTGCAATGTACAGCATAGTGAATACAGTTAATAATACCATAATAGCTTTGTATGGTGACAGATGGTACCTAGATTTATCGTGGTGGTCACCACCTAATGTATATAAATCTTGAATCACTATGTTGTACATCTAAAACTAATAATATCGTTATGTAAACAACACAAAACAAAATGATGTCCCGGTCTCACCTCAGATATTGACTTAATTTGTCTGCGGTGGGACTGGGGTAGTGGTGTATTTTCAAAAGCTCCCCAAGTGAGTCTAATGGATAGCCTGGATTCAGAGCCCATGTCCTGAGATGATGATTCATATTACCTGGGTCAAACCAAGGCATAACACTTACTGGTGCTAAAAGCCAATTTTGCTTGACCAGAACCAGACCATAATACATTTGTCAGGCATGTTCTTCGGGAAGCAGCAGGTCTAAGGGCTGCAGAGACAGAGATGCCCCAAGGAATAGCACTCACATGTCGGGCAATCTGGAAAGAGAAACACTTTATATTAGGAAGTAGCCTGAAGGCTGGCCTTGCTGAAAGGGCATTAGATCATTGGTCGCCTCCGCTCTCCTTGTTCCTGTGAACCAAATACCAAACCCCAAACTCTAAAAGAATGAACCTCCATGTTCTTAACATTCCTTTCTGCTTCCTTCTTCAAGACTGCAAGAGGGGAACAGGGAGATGTTGGTCAAAGCGTACAAAGCTGCAGTTATGTAGGATGAATAAGTCTAGGGATCTAATGTAGGGGTACGATGACTATACTTAATTATACTGTACTTAACACTGGGAATTTGCTAAGAGAGTAGATTTCAGGGACACTGGTCACACACAAAAAAGGTAATTATGTGATGAGATGTTAGTTTGACTGCAGTAATCATTTCCTTATGTATATCAAATCATCATGTTGTACAGCTTAAGTATATATAACTTTTATTTAAAAAATATATAAATAATTTTTTAAAACCTGCAAGGCAGAGGAGAATTATAAGGCCATAAAGACTCCATGCTCTTAAGAACACAGAGGGTTCAAAAACCAAGAGGACTTGGCCAGGCCCCGTGTATTTACGCCTTTTACCAGCATGATCCACTAAGTATGTTTGTTTGTTTGTTTGTTAAGATTTTATTTATTTAGTTGAAAGAGACAGAGACAGCGAGAGCAGGAACACAAGCAGGAGGAGTGGGAGAGGGAGAAACAGGCTTCCCGCCGGGCAGGAAACCCGATGTGGGACTCGATCCCAGGACCCTGGGATCATGACCTGAGCCGAAGGCAGACGCTTAAGAACTGAGCCACCCAGGCGCCCACACTAAGTATGGTTTTCCCAGAAAAGACAAGGCCCCGCAGACAAGCAAACAAGTAGAGCAAAGTTCACCCTCTGAGAAAATTCGTACAGGGCTCAAGGGGATTGTTTGCTCAACTACAGTGTCTAGCATGACTCAGGAAGAAGTTCAACCCCGCCAGCAGAAAGGGAAGAGAGGGTACCAAGAGGGTGCTCGGCTTTGCCAGGAGGAAAGCGCGGGTACAGACCTGGGGGATGGGAGGAGGGCAGTGCCTTTTGCACTTCAGCACTTTGTACTTTACCACTTTGGTTTCCATCCACCATTTAGTGGATGCTTACTGCAAAGCCTTACTGTAGGCATCATTCTTTCTATCTTTGGGCGAGGACAGTAAACTGAGGTTCGAAAAGGTGAAGTCATGTGTCCAAGGTCACAGAGTAGCTAGGGAACAGGGGCCAGGGACCCTGCCTCCAGGACGGGGTGCTCAGGTGGAGAGAGGACTGAGGACCCCCGCTCGGGGAGAGGAGGGATTGGAAGGGAGGACACATGGGAGGGGGCGGTTCTGCGCAGGCGCATTCCCTAGAAGCGAGGCCTCTGGATCCTTTACCCGCTGGTGCCCTCCAAGAACGGCGAAAGGCCCTCCCAGACCACAGGGAGCAGGATCCTGTCTGGGAAGCACGTCGTCGGAACCACTGCTGGGTCTCCGCTCCTGTCCCCTGCCGGCAGCCACTCACCGAAGCCCGGAGAATTCGTCCCACTGCGGCCGCCATCTTCAGTGCGCGCGGGATTCGCGGGACTGGCGGGGAAGAAGAGGAAGCGGGGTGTGCGGGGGCGGACCCGGGGCGGAGCCTCGGCGGCGGGGCGGGGCCTGGGCCGGAGCGGGGCCTGGGCCGGAGCGGGGCCTGGGCCGGAGCGGGGCCTGGGCCGGAGCGGGGCCTGGGCCGGGGCGGGGACGGGGAAGAGGGCTTTCCCACCTTTTGCCGGGACCTTCCTCGCGTCGACTTGTCTGTCCGGTGCCTCAGCCCCAGTTCCGAGGAGAAAATGCCTGTTGTGGCTTCTAAGTAACGAAATGCTTAGGAAAACAACACTTTGTTTCTAACTGTCGCCGCAACCTAAAAAGGACTAATCCAGATGGGGAGTTTCTGATTTTTTTTTTTTTTAAAGATTTTATTTATTTATTTGAAAGAGAGAATGAGAGCACATGAGAGGGGGGAGGGTCAGAGGGAGAAGCAGACTCCCCGCCGAGCAGGGAGCCCGATGCGGGACTCGATGCGGGACTCGATCCCGGGACTCCGGGATCATGACCTGAGCCGAAGGCAGTCGCTTAACCAACTGAGCCACCCAGGCGCCCCGGGAGTTTCTGATTTTTATGGTTAACCTGTGTGGATGACTGTTCTACCCGTTCTGCAAAAGGTTCTTCTTCCTGTTTAGGCTTCAGGTAGAGCCTTCTGGATTCTGCAGGAGATGGCATTAATTTTAAAGACATTTTTTTCCATTATTAAGCCAAGTGGGTCAGACACGGCAAGTTTTTGGTGTTCTGAAAACCTTTGGGATGGTGTGTGGACTTCCATTTTGGCCTCTCTTCCCCAAATTGGGAGAATTGGGACAAATTCAAATTCGGCTTTCTGTTGATTAGTAAAGCCAAGTGCTCAGTGGTGAGCATGGTATTTTGAAGCAAGCTCATCCAACACAGGTAAAAATCACACGGTGGCTTTACGGTAAATGCAGACTCTAAGTAGGTTTTTTCCAGGCACCAGTCATTCCACTACCAACATAGTTTCTTGAATCTGTATATATTATTTACTATTTTCTTTAAGTTGACTCACTTTTGAAAAACATAAATGAATTTATTTGAAAGAAAATGTTAAATAACTTCAATGGTAAAACCTTGTAACTTGCTATGAATAGAGAATAAAATAAATACATTAGGGATTCCTGGATGCCTCAGTTGGTTAATCGTGTGCCTTTGACTCAGGTCATGATCCCCAGGCCCTGGGACTAGGGCCCTGGGATTGAGCCCCAGCTCAGCTCCTTGCTCGGCGGGGATCCTATTCTCCCTCTGCCTGCCATTCCCCCTGCGTGTGCTCCCGCTCTCTCTCTCTGACAAATAAATAAATAAAATATTAAAAAAATAAATACATTAAAACAAAATGTTATTAAGTATCAACTAGATACAGTTGCCTGCTGAAAATCTGAGACTTTGTAAAAAGGGAGACAGGTGGCTAGCAGCATCCTGGTATCACATGGGGTTCTCTTTATGTAATCAGAAGGATTTAAAGAGCATTAAGAGGGTAATAATTTTCTCACTTTGGGACTTGATGTTATTTATTTTGCTCCTCATATAAATCCTTTTATGTACCACTAATACAGCAGTGGGTACCAGCCCCATATTTTGGAAAGGACTACCTTGGAAGCAAGAGATGAGAATCTAAAATGGTTTGACCATTTTGGAAAATTCCATGTCAGTATTTAGTAAAACTGAATATATGACTCAAATAACTTCAATCCTAGGCATATGCCCAAAAGATGTGTGTACATCAGTTTATCAAAAGACATAGGCTAGAATGTTCATAGCAACACTATTATAATGACACAGAGATAAAACTACACAAATGCCCATCAACCATAGAATGGATGAATAAATTATGATATTATTAACATTATACAACAATGAGAATGAATGCACGGCAGTGACATGCAACAAGGTGCGTGAGTTTCACAAACATGATACTGAGTGAAAGAAGCCAGACATGAAAAAGTAGACACTGTATGGTTCCATTTATATGAAGTTCAAAAACAGGAAAAACTAATGTATAGTGTTTGAAGTCAGGATGGTGGTGACCTTGAGAAAACGAGAATTGGAAGAGGATAATGAGAAGACAAGTATGGGGTGCAAATAATATTTTATCTGTTGACCGGCTTAAAGGTAATAGTTGTATTTACTTTGTGAGCATTCATGAAGCTGTACACTTATGATTGGGCACTTTTAAATGTCATAATCCAATTAAAAGTATATATATAGCAAGTGGCTACAAATTTCTCAATCATTTCCCCTTAGTACCTGCCTTGTGTTTAATTGGTGCTCATAATGTGTTTGTGAACAGATGTTTGAAAAGGAAAGGGGATTGTAATGTTGGAGCTCAAAATCATCCTGTAGTCTGAAATGGAATATTATTCAGCCATAAAAAGGAATGAAGGATTGATATATACCGTAATATAGATGAACTGCAAACAGCGTTATGCTGAGTAAAAGAAGCCAGACCCAAAAGGCCAAATGTTATATGGTTCCTTTCATATGAAATATGTAGGATAGGTAAAGCCATAGAAACAGAAAGCAAATTGGCAATTGCCAAGTGCTGTGAGGAGGAGGCAGGGGGACTGACTGCTTAATGGGTACAGGGTTTTCTTTCGGGGGTGATGAAAATGTTTTGGAACTACATAGAAGTGGTGATTGTACAACACTGTGAATGTTCTCAGTATCACTGGATGGTGCATTTTAAAATGGTTAATTTTATGATTTATGATTGTTACCTCAATTTAAAAAAAGAAGTAGGGACTAACAACAAATACAAAAAGATGCTATGGTCTAGCCCAGTGATTTTGTAGACAAGAAAATGGACACTTTTAGAGATGGAGAGACCTACCCAAAGTCACATAGCCGGTTGGAAGCAGAGGTGGAACTAGAAGCCAGAACATCCTCACACCTGACCAGCCAGTATGTGAGCTGGAAGAGGTGAGGGGTTGGAGGTAGAGAAAAGGCAAGGGGGAGGTTTCTCTTTCCATGTTCCTTACACCCATAACCCTTTGCTGTCCACCTCTCCTTTTCTCTAGCATTTTGGAGGGCACCTCTCTCTCCTATTTTATGCACCTGTAGTTTGGTTTCCACACATAGGCAGTTTGATTCATAATTAACTTCACTGTGATGTAAATCATAAGCAAACAAAACAACAGAACAGACTGGAGTTCCCTCATGATTTGGCTTATTCATCTTGGTTTCAGTTTTACAATTTAGAAGCTTTAGTTAGTCCTATCTCTTTGGGTGGGGCCTGTTGAGGCTTAAAGTTGACACTATTTTCTGTCTTCCATTTCATCCATCCTCCTCCAGCTGCCATTCAGCTTAGAGTGTGGTTTCTGCATCCTCCCTGCCACAAGCTCATTTTAGCCTTGGGAATAATGCATTTTCTTTCCTATTTAGGTCCCAGGTAGAGCCTTCTGTGTTGGATGAATTTGCATCAATTAGCAATGTGATTTTAATCAGTTAATAAGCATATATTGAGTGGATCATACAGGCGCTGCTCCCAAGGAACTCCTTGTGTATCCAGGGAACATTGAGTAAAGATTGTAAAAAACCAAAATCCAAGATCCATCATTTTAATGAGCATACAAGAGGCATTATGGTTGAGAGCGGACAGCTGGGGTTCAAACACCAGCTCTGCATTTAGCACTTAACTCTCTTGGGCAAGTTACTCCCTGCCTGTTCTTCCACCTGAAAAATGGGAGTGATATTAATACCTGCCCCAAGGGTGGTTGGGAGGAATAAGCGAGTTAAATTTTAAAGCACTTAACACAGTAAACAGGTACACAGTGAATACTGTAAGTGTTTGTTTTATTAAATGAAAGGGTCCTTGGGACGCCTGGGTGGCTCAGTCGGTGAAGCGTCTGCCTTTGACTTCATGATCTCCGGGTCCTAGGATCGAGCCCTGCATCTGGCTCCCTGCTCAGCGGGAAGCCTGCTTCTCCCTCTCCCACTTCCTCTGCTTGTGTTCTTGCTGTGTCTCTCTCTGTCAAATAAATAAAATAAAATCTTAAAAAAAAAAAAAATGAAAGAGTCCAGGCAAAGTGCTATGAGAGTTTAGAGAAACAGAGCTCAAGAAGGGTCTCATAGAGGAAAAAAGTGTTATCAGAATAGATGGATTCTGTCCTTGAGGGAGGAATGGGGGAAGATGAAGGGAAAGATGGCAGATAGAAGTAATTGGTGACCTTTGTCCCTTTGGTTTGTTTTTTTTTTTTAAAGATTTTATTGATTTATTTGACAGACAGCGAGAGAGGGAACACAAGCAGGGGGAGTGGGAGAGGGAGAGGGAGAAGCAGGCTTCCCGCTGAGCAGGGAGCCTGATGTGGGGCTCTGTCCCAGGACCCTGGGATCATGACCTGAGCCAAAGGCAGACACTTAACAACTGAGCCACCCAGGCACCCCAAAAGCAATCTATATTTTATGACAAAGATAAGTTTGTGACTTTCCTGAATAGTTGATTTCTATTTACAAGAACTCTGACCGAGCAGCTTTATCCACACAATACAGGTGCCAACAGAAGAGTGAGACTCTGTGGTTCTTTTGCATTTTCCCGTTCAGCTGATCCCGAGTGGATCTGGAAGTCAGAATTTGACATATTCCCATCCCTCTCAAACTCACACACTGTTCCATTTGGATTTGCATTCTTGCCTTCAGCCAGCAAGATTTTCTGACTTACCTATTGATATTTAATAGTCTGCTCTTTCTTGAATCAAACCCATTTCTCTAGAGGACTGCTGTTGTTAATGCAGTTAATTGAAAGGAATGAAGCTATAACGGTGGAATTATAGGAAGCTATAATGGTGTAATGGAAAAACCCCCTTAAGTCTTAATCACTTAGCCAACTGCCTGCTTTGCTTTCTTACAATACAATTTAAGTTCACTCTGGCAGCCAAACAGGACAATTGCAGCCAAGTTCTGCTGGCTAGCCTGAGCTAGCCAGAAATTAAGTGCATAGACTCTGAGTCAGACTGCTAGGTTCAAATCCCACATCTTCTACTTCTTCGTTGTGTGACCTTAGGCAATTTATAAAACCTCT